GGGGGGTGGGGGGGCAGGGGCAGGGGTTCTTTGAAAAGCGTGATTAAACTCCTAGAGAGAAAGACTGAAAACAGCAGAGAAGGCTCCAGGGAACATCCCTACACACCCTACAGATATAAACACCATTACAAGAGGTTATCCGGAACAAGTTTATGCCAATTTCTGTAAATTTGGAAAAATGAAAAATTCCTTTGAAAAACTCACGTAAACTGACAAGAAGAAAGAGAAAATATGGAGTTCTAGAGCGTCAAAAGAAACAAAATCTCTAATTAAAAGCCTCCCCATACAGAAGACTACAGGCTCTAAAGGCTTTACTAGTGAATTCTATCAAACATTTAAAGAAAAATAACCCCAATCTTATGCAGGACTCCTCCAGGGAACATAAAATGAGAGAAGATACCCCATATCATTGTATGCGGACATAAAACCTCGATTCCAAAACCTTGATGTGGGCACTTTAAAAAAAGGAACTTATATAAGGACCTACTGTACAGCACAGAGAACTCTACTCAATACTCTGTAATGGTCTATAAGGGAAAAGAATCTAAAAAAGAGTGGATATGTGTGTATGTATAATAGATTCACTTTGCTGTACACCTGAAACTAACACAACGTTGTATATCAATTATACCCCATTAAAAATTAAAAAACAAAAAAGAAAAGGAAAGGAAATTATAAGCCAATCTCACTGATGGCCACAGATACAAAAATTCTTAAAAAGAAAGCAATATGGGGCTTCCCTGGTGGCACAGTGGTTGAGAGTCCACCTGCCGGACTTCGTGCCCCGGTCCAGGAAGTTCCCACATGCCGCGGAGCAGCTGGGCCCGTGAGCCATGGCCGCTGAGCCTGCGCATCCGGAGCCTGTGCTCCGCAACAGGAAAGGCCACAACAATGAGAGGCCCGCGTACCGTAAAAAGAAAAACAAAAAAAACCCCAAAAAACAAACAAACAAAAAGACTCCACAACAAACATACTTAATTGTAAAACAGTGAAAGCCTTTCCTCAGAGGCAATAAATAAAACAGAGGCCCACTATCACCACTTCAATTCAACAATGTATTAAAGGTTCCAGACAATGCAACAAGGCAAGAAAAAGAGACTAAAAGTGTAAGATTTATAAAGGACAAAATAAAATTGTCATTAATCATAGATGGTATGATCTTATACATAGATTTAAAAAAAGAATATAAGAAATTCGCTGGCAGTCCAGTGGTTATGACTCCATGCTTCCACTGCAGGGGGCATGGGTTTGATCCCTGGTGGGGAACTAAGATCCCGCATGCCGTGCGGCATGGTCAAAAATAAAAATTAAAAAAAAATGTAAAAAGAATATAAATTATTAGAACAGCAGCTTTCTTGATAATTTCCAAAAACTGGAATCAGCCCAGATGTCCTTCAACATGTGAATGGTTTAACAAATTGTGTTCCATCCACACCATGGAACACTACTCACTCTGCAATAAAAGGGAATGTACTACTGATACATACAACAACTTGGATGACTCTTCAGGGATGTATGCTAGAAAAAAAAGCCATAAGGCTATACATTATATGATTTAATTTAAACAACAGTTTGAAAAAACAAAATTTCTGAAATGAAACAGACTAGTGGTTGCCAGAGGTTAGGGATGGGTGAAGGGATAGAGGCCAGAGGAAGGTGGGAGCAGTTATAAAAGGGCAACACAAAGGATCCTTATGGTTTAAGAACCGTCCAGTATGTTGACTGACGGCGGAGACACGAACCTACACAAGTGATAAATTGTACTGACCTTAACACACGTACACACACAAATGACTGCAAGTGAAATGTCAACGTCCTGGTTGCGATCTTCTGCTAGCATTTTACAAAATGGCACCACTGAAGGAAACCAGGCAAAGTGTACAAGAGATGGCTTTACATTATTTCATAAAACTGCATGCGAATCTACAATTATCTCAACAAAAATTTTCAATAAAAAAGACACTGTTTAGAATAACATGAAAATATCAAGTACCTAAGGATAAACATAATGAAAAATATGTAAGACCTCTACCCAAAGAACTTGGTTACTGAGAGAAATTAAAGAAGCCCTAACTACTCAGCTTTTTGCTATAGCACAAAAGCAGCCATAGATAATATGTAAACAAACGGGAGCAGCTGTGTTTCAATAAAGTTTCTTTTACAAAATAGGGGCAGGCTGGTTTTGGCCTGTGGGCCATAATTAGCCAACCCCAATCTATAGGAAATGTAAGCCTAATCAAAATTTTAGCAGGTTTTTCTGGGGAACAGGGGAGAATGTGGAAACTGACAAACTCACTCTAAAATTTGTTCATCCTAAAATAATGCAAAAGGCAAAGAAGAGTAAAAACAACCTTGAAGAAAAACAAAGTGAGAGGACTAATTCTATCAAACATCAAAACTTACAAAGCTACAGTAATTAAATAGTGCTGTGTTCATAATTACGAACAGGACAGTAGAACAGAAACGCATACACACGTGATTGCTTGATTTATAACAAGAGGGACACTGTGAAGCAATTGAAAGCACGGCCTTATCAGTACAGTGCTGGGTCAGCTGGACAATAACCATATGAAAAAACACTTCAGTCTTACACCACTTACAAGAATCAATTCCAGGTGGACTGCAGGTAGGAATGTGAAGGTAAAACAATAAAGCTTCTAAAAGATAACACAGAAGAGCAGTAAGAGAATTATCTTTATGATTTCCAGGTCGGCAGAAGTTTCTTAACAAAACAACAACAACAAAAAAACCCCAAACAAATAAAAAGAGTTATGACTTGGACTATATGAAAATCAGGCTCTCTGCTCATTAAAAGATACCATTAAGAGAGTAAAAAACAAAACCAAACCCAGCAAGCAGAGTGGGAAAAGATGTTTGCAACACAAAATCAACAAAGGGGGAATTCCCTGGCAGTCCAGTGGGTGGGACTCTTGGCTTTCACTACGTGAGAGCATGGGTTCAATACCTGGTCAGGGAACTAAGATCCTGCAAGCTACGAGGCACGCCGCCCTCCCCCACAAAAAAACAACTCAACAAAGAACTCGTATCCACGAAATAGAGAGAATTCCTACAAATGAAAAAAGAAGAGACAGCCTGATAGAAAATGGGCAAGAGACTTCACACAAAAAACATCTAAATGGCCAATTCATATATGAAAAGGTTCTCATCCTCACTAGTCACCAGGGAGATGCAAACTAAAAGCACAATGCTGTTGTATACACCATCAGAAGAGATAAGATAAACCGACTGATAATATTAGTCAGGGCTGGAGAGGAAGTGGAAGGGCAGGAACTGTCATGCTCTGCTGCTGGGACTGCAAACTGGCTCAACCACTCTCACTTCAGCCATTCAAGCTGACCACACGTACATCCTAGTTACGACCATGTGGCGCAATGCCTGGAGAAAAGGAAGTCCTTATATTTTAGAGATACACGCTGAAATATTGACAGAAGAAATGACATGCCGTCTGGGGTTTGTTTTGAAATAGTGCCTGGGGGATGGCGAGCAGGGGTAAAGGTGAAAGAAGACTGACAACACCGCCTCCTGAAGCAGGTAACAGGCACAGGCGCCAGCAAACCTCATGGCCCTTCTGTGCCATCTATGGTGTGCGCTGCTGAAGCACGCCAGGGCAGATGCAAGGCCGGAGCAACCGCGGAGCCAATGTGGCCTCCAGGAGGCCCACGCTCCAGCTGAATGAAACGAGCTCACTCCCTGCTTTACAGAAAACTATTACTAGGCATTTCCTTTAATTTGCTTTGAAACAATAAGTGCCCTAGACATACAGGCACCCGCCACCCACACAGATGCAGCAGCAGACACCCTAATGTCCTGCCATGATGCAGGCATGTCCTGGATCTCACACCCATGACTGGTCAGTGACAGGATGAGCCGGTCTAGTTTGGGGCCCTGCGCAGCTCCCAGGGGTGGCAGAGGTGCTGCTTATTTCAGAGCCGGCCAGAGGAAGTCTCTCTTGGGAAGCCACTTTCTTAATCAAATCCCAGCTCCCACAGCAGCAGCCCACACTGCTCCACGTGTGTCCCACAGAACAGTCAGAAGCCTGCCCCCCACAGCCTGATGCACGGGTCGCACAGCAGTGGCTGAGGGCAAGATGCGATGGCGTCAGCCACGCCTCCCTCCCACATCTCACGGGCTTGGCGGATGAGTACCTGTTCAGTTCTTCTTGCAATGAGACTGCCAATGGTCTTGCTGAGAAAACTGGCGAGGAGAGGATTGAGGGGCGGCTCACGGTTCAAGAAGTCGTAAAGAAGGGTCTGCTGAAAAAACTGGCGAGGAGAGGATTGAGAGGTGGCTCACGGTTCAAGAAGTCGTAAAGAAGGTTGAGCAAAGTCTCGTCCCCTCCCAGCCTGTCACTGATCTGCGGCACGTCACACGTCAGCAGCTCACAGGCTGTGTTTGGGTACCTGAAGGGGCACAGTGCAAGCAACTGGTGGTGAATGAGACTTCCCCACCGCTCAGGAAGCTACTTGAATAATCTGCCTCTTAGGAAGCAGATCCACAGGCAAAAGCCAAACATGGCTAGACCTTGGAACAGAATAAAAATGTGATTATTCTGTGACCAACCGGCATTTCTGACTACTAGAACCTCAATGTTTTTATCATACCTTTTTCTGGATCCTCATACCCTAAACTCTGACATCCCACATTTTCTGACTCTATTTCCATTCTCTACGGAACCTTTCCTAATCTTTTGGCTTCTCCTCTGCCCTCGTACTCACCTGCCATGTCTCTCACCTCCATCAGGCTCATCCTCCCCTCTCCACGCCTTTCCTGACCCCACATGTCAACAAGCACAGATCCAGCTTGTTCCCAGACTGAAGAGATGCTTCATCATCAGTTTACAATGCAGTACCAGTTCTGAAGTGTTATGCAGGCAAATTATTATTAAGATATATCAATATATGTAAACAATGTACTATTCATTTGATAAAAATGATCAGACAGGGGCTTCCCTGGTGGCGCAGTGGTTAAGAATCCACCTGCCAATGCAGGGGACACAGGTTCGAGCCCTGGTCCGGGAAGATCCCACATGCCGCAGAGCAACTAAGCCCATGCGCCACAACTACTGAGCCTGCGCTCTAGAGCCCACGTGCCACAACTACTGAAGCCCGCGCACCTAGAGCCCGTGCTTGGCAACAAGAGAAGCCACCGCAATGAGAAGCCCGTGCACCACAACGAAGAGTAGCCCCCGCTCACCACAACTGAAAGAAAGCCCACGCGCAGCAACTAAGACCCAAATGCAGCCAAAAATAATAAATAAATAAATGAATAAATTTATTTACTTTAAAAAAAAAAAGATCAGACACAAAATAATCCTGATCCCATTACGTGTAATCCCATACCACTGTGCTCCCTGCCTGACCCTCTGACAGACATGGGATCACTGCTGTGGTCCTGGGACAGGCCTACCCAATGTCCTGCTGCATCCAGGACAGAGCCCACCATAGCAGTGCAGTGACAATGCCTGGTGCCACACTCAGCACATCTGGGAACACAGTTGAGGGTGCCCAGGGCCAGAGCAGGCAGGAACCTGGCGGGAGTATCCTGTGGGGCTGACTGCCCTGGAGCACACCTGGCACCAAGCTACACGGGACATGCTGTGCAGCCTCAGGCACCTTACCTAACGTTTCTGTGTCTAGGCTGCTTTATCTGAACACGGAGGTCTGAGTGTCCGCCTTCCCCACGAGGCTGTGTATAAAGCAGAGCAGCAGTGCCTGGCACACAGTAAGTCCGGGATCAAGGTCAGCCACTATGACCCTACGGCTCCTGGTAGCCACCCATACGGCCCCAGCAAGGGCCTAACCCCAGGTGGTCACTGTGGTCAGCTAGGGCCTGGCGGCCGGCCCAGCGTGGAGGGGAGGGGACAGGATCTCAGCCTGGCTGTGGGGTGGGTGCTCCCCATCACCCAGAGAAGAGGGCCTTCTGAAGCCAAGAGGGCAGCCGGGTATGAGCGAACGCCCGATCCACACAGAGGGGCCCAGACGAGGTGTGGCCAGCGTCCAGCTCATGGGGTCATGGCGAGGATGAGATGGGGCAGCTCCGCACTGTGGACATGCCCCACGGTGACCAGCACAGCAGACAGTGCAGGGCCGCCAGGGGCAGAGGCCAGAGAGCCTGCTCGGAGTGCAGCACCCAAGGCCGGCACGAGGCCCCACAGGACACGGGCGGAGAGGTGCCTGCCAGCCTCCAAACAACAAGACAAGACTCGCCGAGCAACAAGGGAGAAGCATGCCCCAGAGAAAGGCACAGAGCACATGGAAAGGCTCCCATCGTCTCTGCGTGTGCGCACGCGCAAACACACGAATTGTGCACGTGTGTGGCAAGCTGAGCCACAAGGCGCTGTTGTACTTAGACAAGGTTGCATCTAGGTGGAGGGACTGAGATCTCTATCAGTATTTTATAATTATTCTTCAGAAAAACAGGCACTGCTCTAGTAATTTATATAATTTATGCAGGGAATAGCCATTCCAGTTAAACACGGCAGACGGAGCATAGAGGTTTGTGGCCATAATGCAAAGAAGAAAAGACGAGAGAGGAATGAACCTAGAGGGTGGGCGGCCAGGGAAGCAGGCCAGGCGCACGAGGCAGGTCTGTGTCTCAGGGTCCTGGGGGAGGAGGGTGGGCAACCAGACACAGCTCATGAAACCCAGAAGGACCCTGTGGAGCCCTCCAGGGCACAAAAGCCTTTCTGTGTCCACTATTTCTTGTTGGTAGGAGATAGGCTTCATCCAGCCTCCCTGACATTCCCTACGTTCCAAAGGGCAGGTTCAAACAGTTACTAATCAGGGAAGGGAGGGGCTGAAGAAACAAGGGAGGGGCAGCCAAGAACCAATGGTGCAGGTCCCGGTTCCTCCTCGAGGGATACACATAACAGTATCTGTGAGCCCTTCGGCAGAACCAAGGCCTCCATCCAGGAGGAGGACAGTAACTTCAGGCTGAGCCCAAGATCCCTGGAGCATCTGCTCTGTTACCTGACTACCAGCCAACAAGAAGAAAGCCACATACTCCGCAGCCCTCACCCCACATTTTCCCTATAAAACTTCTCCCCTGAAATCGGGGAGTTTGGGGTTTTTGAGCATGAACCACCCATTCTCCCTGCAGTGCCCTACAATAAAAAAACCTTTCGGTGCTCCAAACTCTGAGGTTTCGGTTTGTTTGGCCTCACTGTGCTTTGGGCACACACACTTGCGTTCTGTAGCACTCAGAGAGGCCTGGACGGAGACAGTGTCCACCAGGCAGGTGGAGGGTCAGTGCAGTGAGACTCCCAGCCCCTCCTCCTTGTTTTGTTTGCTTAGTTTTATCCTTATTTACTACTAATTTCTCCCAAACTCTTTGACTACAAAACTCTCCTGGATTATTGGTGCTGCTTCTGAGATTCCCCTATCTTAACCCAGGGGATAAAGTTACATTACTGGGAAATTCCAGAGCAACAGGATTAGAAAAGGCCCTAAAATGCCCCTAAGGAAAGCTGCAGACCTGTGGCATCAGACTTGTCAGCAGCAGGGTTGGAACTAGGAACTAGAAGATGTGAATGGAAAATGCTGCTGCCCTGTCAGTAAACAAAGGGTGCTGCAGCCATCAAGCCACTAGAGCCTCCCCGGCTGCCCTGCCCCGTGAGCCCTGAGAGAACTCGGGAGAGAGAAAAGCGGCCGAGCCACAGCAGCCACCCTCAAGGATGGGAAAAGCAGAGGATTCTGGCCCTAGACAGCTGAGGTGCAGATCAAAGGAATGATTTCAGTGAGCCCAGACTCCTCTTTTTTTTTTTTTTGGCTGCATTGGGTCTTCATTGCTGCGCGTGGGCTTTCTCTAGTTGCGGCGAGTGGGGGCTACTCTTCGTTGCGGTGCGTGGGCTTCTCATTGTGGTGGCTTCTCTTGCTGCGGAGCACGGGCTCTAGGCGTGCAGGCTCAGTAGTTGTGGCGCAGGGGCTTAGTTGCTTCGCGGCATGTGGGAACTTCCCAGACCAGGGCTCGAACCAGTGTCCCCTGCATTGGCAGGCGGATTCCTAACCACTGCACCACCAACCAGGGAAGTCCTGAGCCCAGACTCTTGCATCCTTCCATACACAGAGAAGTGCTAAATTCCTTAACTTAAGATGTCTGGTTTTCTTTAATGAACAGTAAGCTTTTGAAGTCCCGACTACCTGGTCTTTGTTGCAAAAACTCCTATATATCCTGGCCCCTCACTCACTCTTTAGAGCTGTCCCTCAGAGCGATCTGAGAGTCCTGTCTCCAGGGCTTGAAGTCCTTAGAAATTCCGCCAAATAAAACATAATTCTCAGCTTTTAGGCTGTGCGTTTTTTTTTTCAGTTAATGAAGACACCTATGGAGTCTTCAAAATTTCAGGAGACGCATGTCCAGTCTGGACTGGAAACCAGAGGGAGCTTAGAGCCAGCAGGAAGGAGAACGATGCACTCAGGCTGCGCCCCAACCTTGCCACCCACGCAGACCTCCTCAGGAAGCTGCCAGAGAATAGGATTTGCCAGGGGAAGGAGACAAAAAAGAGGAAGACGAAATCCTGGAGCATGGAAGGTGGACTCAGGAATTATCAGAGCGAGGATGGGAGAGTCCAGGAACCGTAATGGCGGGGATTCATTCCCTCTCCCCCACTTCACGCCTCCCTCTGGGCCCTGCCCTGCTGCTCCCCAGGGACTCAGCCGTCCTCTCTGCTCTGCCCCTTAGTGTGGCAGGCAGGATTAGTTGGTGGGGGTGGGGGTGGGGTCCTGCCCTGACCCAGCCCTGCTTCCCGCTGGGTGAGAAGTTCTAACTTTGATTTGGAAAGAGGAAGCCCTCCACTCAGAGCTAAAGCAACATCCCCCCACACCAGCATGAGGAACAGAAGTGGTAACTTAGGTCCATCTGCTGGCTTTTCTGTCTTATTTCTCAAACAGTCCAGAACTCTGCAAAGTGCACAGGAATCTCAAGAAAAAGGCCAGAAGCACCCGCAAGGTTCTCAGGCTAGACCAGGTGGCCAGCTCCCAGCCCAGGGCTGCTCCACAGAGGTCTCACCTGCATGGAGCAGCCTCTGGCTTTAGCAGAACAGCTAACCACTCAGGGCAGCTCCTCTGGACCCGTGTGGCTCGGGCACACTCCCTGCTCTCGGGAAGGGTCTCTCCGTAACCAGCCGGCAGCCACGAGGATAAAGCCACACCAGCTGGGCTGCAGAGGCACAAAGGCGGCTGGAGGAGGTGCTGCCGCCCTGCCCAGGCGGCCTGGGGCGGCCATCTAGAGGCCCAGCAGCGCAGGCACTGGCTCCGCGCTCTCCGTCGTGTCACCTGCTGCTGCCACACGCTCCGAGGGCCGAGCTGAGCGGCTCAACGGAGACCTACGGCTCAAAGCCTGAAACAGGGCCGATCTGTATCTCTGGCACCTTTAAAAAATGATCTGGACCCCACTTCCTTCAGCTGCTACCTCATCCGTCCGCCCAGCCGATTCCTCTTCTCAGAAAGGACGTTTTGATCTGATTTTAATTAAAAGCAAATAAATTTTTAATAAAAGTTAATTTTAAAATTACTTTTTATTTTATTTATTTATTTTTTGCGGTACACGGGCCTCTCTCACTGTCGTGGCCTCTCCCGTTGCGGAGCACAGGCTCCGGACGCACAGGCTCAGTGGCCATGGCTCACGGGTGAGCATTTTTATGTTCAGTGGGGATAACCCTAACTAACTTACCCAGGTATTTTAATTTTTTTTTTTGCCGTACGCGGGCCTCTTACTGTTGTGGCCTCTCCCGTTGCGGAGCATAGGCTCCGGATGCGCAGGCCCAGCGGCCATGGCTCACGCGCCCAGCCCCTCCGCGGCATGGGGATCTTCCCAGACCGGGGCACGAACCCGTGTCCCCTGCATCGGCAGGGAGGACCTCAACCACCCCCCCCCCCAGGGAAGCCCTAAAATTACTTTTTAAACTAAAAGCTTTTTACTTTTTTTAACAGGTGATATGGGGACTTCCCTGGTGGCCCAGTGGTTACGACTCCACGCTCCCAATGCAGGGGGCCTGGGTTCAATCCCTGGTCAGGGAACTAGATTCTGTGTGCCACAGCTAAGACTCAGAGCAGCCAAGTAAATACATAAATACTTTTCAAAAACCCCCAAACCAAAAACAGGTGATACGCACAAATGCTTTTAAGACTCTGTATGACTGGGCTCGTGAAGAAGGGCAGCCCCTCCTTTCCCACTCCCACATCCCACTCCTGAGACAGTCACCACAGTCTCCTGGCATTTTTTGTATTACTGACGTCCATGTTTCCAAATAAAATACAAGTACGCGTCTTCGTCTAGCAATTTCAGGCATTACAGCTGACCTCCTGCGGTGGAAGATGAAGAGGTAATAGCTCGCACGCCTCACGTCACCCTGCCCTGCTGCCCCACTGCCCTTCCCCCCCCATATAAAATTATACCACAATTTTTAGTTAAATCCATGTCCAGTGTGGCCCTCTGTATGAACATGTAAACACTGTTCTATTTGCTTACTTACATGCATCCTTCCCTCAGAGTTAAAGGTTTTCTCACTGCCTTGTCTGCTTTGTTTGTACTCACCCACTGCTACCCTCTCCCAAACTCTGACTATAAAGCTCTCCGGGCTCACTGATGCTACGCTGGGACTCCTCTACCCAGAACCACAACATGCTGCCCCAGCCCTTCTCCCCGTCACACTGTCGCCAACACCCTCCAGACAGGCAGACCCTCGATGGGTCAGCAACAGGACACATTTGGAAGTGAGAGAGCGAAAGGAATGGGGCCCATTAATGGCAATGCTGAGATAAGAGGCACTGACCAGGCACATCTCAGGGATGATGGCCTCTGATCTATCACAGGTGATCACCATGGCCCCAAGCCCCTGGCTCCCCCATAAGCAAGCCCCCGCCTCTTTGCAGAGCTCTCCTCTTCCAGCGCCAGCTGCCTCCCTGTCAGAGGGGCACGGTGGACCACCACGACCGCAGCACTACTCCCCATCACCCCGTCCTTCTTTACTTGCCTCCTAAGTCATCAAAGACTTTCTATAAAAAGTAAAGGGCCAGAGAGTCAATATTTTAGAACGTCTATGTTGTCATGGCCAACGGGTCACGGATGTGTCCAACAAGACTTGACAATGAAAATGATGGACAAGGAAATGTGAATTTTGTCATTTTCATGTGATATTATTATTTTTCTATTTTTCCCAACCATTTAAAAATGTAAAACCTTTCTCAGCTTGCAGGCCTCACAAAAACAGAATCTGACCTAAGGCCGTAGTTTCCCAACTAAGACTTTACCACCACACGCCGACTCCCTGTGGGACACGTGAGCAGCTGAGGGCACCCTGTCTGCCCTGAATCCCTCTGCTTCACTAGCCCCAGCTCCCCCGCTTCCTAGAGCCTGCTCGGGCCCAGAGAGGCACCCTCAGAGCCAGAGGCCGGCTCTGCTGTCCTTCCTGTCACCTGAGGCCCCACCCGTTCACACTCTGTCCTCACTCCAACCCTTGTCCTAAGTCCTTGCCCTGTCCCTTTTGTCGCCCCCTAACATCCCAGCCGACTGTTGAATGGAACATTTTAGGAAAAACTCTGAGAATGGTTAGGATCACTAATGACACAAAATACGTCCTCCAGGCCCAAGACCCCACGGTCGAGCAGTCAGATGCCGCCTGTCTCTGGGGACTGGCTGTTTCACCAGTCGGGCCAAGGCTGCACCCATCAGCCTGTCAGGGCTCAGCCTTTCTTCAGCACATATTCACCCCAAATGCTCCAACACGGTGCAGCTCGCTATAACCCAGAGTGAGGAATCACACACAGGAGATCCCCAAATCTTCAACATCACAGGAGCAAAGCCCACCAGAGGGGCCTTCTCGCATGTCAGGCGGGGCAAACGTTTACGGTCAGCCACCCTGTCAGAGAGCCCGGCTCTGACCGTCCTCAAGCCCTGCCCGCTGCCACCCTGCACGCTGCCCAGCGCCAGGCCAACCAGCGCCGTGGTACGTACTTGAAGCGGACCTTCTCTTCCACGCCCAGGGCCGGGTCCTGTGTGACGAGGCTCACCAGCTCCTCCATGCTCTGCTGCCTGCACAGGAAGTCCAGCAGCTTCCGGTTCTGGGCCTTGCACTCCTGCAAGATGTCATCTTCGTCCATTAACTCTCGCAGCGTCACGTCCTCCTTATCCAGCAGCTTGTCGACGTGGGACGTGGTGCTCAAGTCAAACTTCCAGAACATGGTGATGGCCACAGAGCTGCGAGCAGACAAGAGGGTCACTGCCACCAGGTGCGAACCCGCCTCAGCAACCCCCACACCCAGGTCCCGAAGTCCACCCACAACGGGGCCCGGGCTGCAGGGGACACTCCCCCATGTACGGCAGGGCAGCTCAGCTTCCTGTCCTCCCGTGGGAGCCCCCAGGGCTCCCGCCACTAGCCCCTGGGCTCCGAGGCCAACACATGCCGGTCTCCCACATGTCCGACGGGGGATGCCCCTCCACCCAAACAGCACGACTCACAACCCTCCTCCCCAGTGTCCAGCCCCTCCTCAGTGAACACTGGGCATCTCTCCCCAGACGTCTCCGTACCGTATATATTTTTAATTTTCTGTATGTTATGTTTTGACATCTTTAAAAAACTTTCTGACTGGGGAGACACTGCCCCTCCTGGGCGGCCAACTCCTAGAGATGGCAAAGGGCTCCCAGGAGCACTCCTGTGACCTGCAGGCTGACCCCCCGGGGCCCTTCTCCTCTGGGGGCCCACACACACCCAGGGGACTACATTCCACTGCCTTCATTATCCCAGGGCCAGGGGCCAGGCAACCAGGAGCCACCCATATAGCTTAGAGCCCGCCAAAATCATCCAAGCAAGCTGACCCGAGGCTGTTCACCCTGTCCAGCCTTGCCTTCAGCGTGGAAACCCCAATAAAAGCTGCAGCCTCGGCTCTGCCCTGGCTCCTCCCCCTTCTGCCTCCGGCCCCCCTCGGGCTTCCGGCACGTGGCCCGCATGCCGTCGGTGCCTCCGGCCTCCAGGACCCGGGAGTGTAGTAACGAGCTCTGCTTCCCTGTCCCTCCTACGCCTCCTCTCGCGGCCGTACCCGCCTGGCCATCCCTTACAGGACACAGAGCAGCTCCCCGCACAAACCTCAGCAAGCCACTCTCAGGACAGCTCCCTCTGCCCCTCTGCCCCTCTGCCATCCCCACCTACTCGGCCCCTCCTTTCCTGCGTCACTTGCTGAGTAAGCCAGTGCTGTCCCTGAGGCCCCCACCTCCCTCACATGCACACACCGAGTCCTAGGTCCTGTCACGCCACCTAAGGACTCTCGATCCACCCACCCCTTCCCCTGCACCCCACATCACCCTCTGCGGGCTCCTGCTGCCTTTGCCTGGACTCTACAAGGTCTGAAGCACTCAGTGAGTCTCATATGTCAGTCTGTGGGCCTAGGGTGGTTTGCAACAAAGTTTTCGCTGCTGGATACAAAATGAAAAACATAAAGCCTACATCTTCAACAAAGTTACACCTCTATCCTGAGATTACCTTTTCAATGTTACACAGACCACTATGTGCAAAATCATGGTGATAGCAGATGGGACTTACCTAATAGTTTTATTTAGAAGAGAAAAGGACTTCTCATGTGACGTGAGCCCCAGTGTGTCTGTGCATGAAGCCCAGCTGGCCAGGAGTCCCAGACACAGGCCCCTCAGCTGTCCAGCCACACCCTCCACAGCCTCTTGTCTTTGCTGTGTCAAACTCGCTTTCCCAAAACACAGACACACGTCTTCACGCCCCTCTCACGGTGGTTTAAAGCCTGTGCTGGCCCCACATGCCCACCACTCACCAGGCTGCCTCTCCCACCATGCCCCCAGGTCCTCTGGGCACTCCCCGCTGCCTCCCCGGCCCCAAGGACGCCGAGTCTCTCCTCCCACACACACCACACTCTCTGCCTTTGCTCTTCTGCGCACACTCCTGTGCTCAGTCCCTTCGCTGACAAAACCCCACCTGCCCCACCAGACTCAGAAGTGGGGCCGCTTGGACTTGTGGCGCAAGGGACTCCACAAGCTGACCTGCACGCAGTTTCCATCTAGGTCCTAGTATCTTCCTTAGTTCTCTCTTGAGGAGTGCAGATGGGTATCTGCCAGTGTTAGTTACAGACTCTGGGGGACCAAAAATAATGATTACTAGATGTACCTTCAGGAAAAGATGGATGTCCCCACACACACATCAGGTGCCCTCTCTCCTAAGGCCCTACAGAATGACTCATGTGCTTGGATAACATACAATCCAGGGAAAG